GTGCTGAACAAAACAGAGGTTTTGCTCCACATAGAAAAGTAATTTTAGGTAAGTATTCTATTGATCCTCAACTCGTATACCTCTTACTAAAGAGCATTTTATGCTGCAGTAGTCTGCTAAACTGTGTATATAGAAAAACTGTTCTTTTCAAATACCTGATTTGAAAACAAGTGCTTAAAACTGTTTAACAGCACTCAGTACTTACCAGTGTATAATGAAAAAAGTAAACGCTATATAATACCTCCGTAATTATGTAGAAAGTAAAAACATGCATATAATCAAAATGCAGAGATTTTTTTTTATATGGCCTTGAATAAGGAAAGCTCGAAAGAATGTTAATAAACATGTTTTCCAGTTTACCTACCAAAAAGAGCTGCTGAACTTCTGCGTTACTGCATTCGTGGTGTACTCTTCTGTGTTTGGTACTAAGGCTCAAGTATTTTTAAAGCTCCAGAAATGCGACTGTGAAGATCCCGTGGCGAATGAGAACTTGCTTTGGGCCGTGTAGCCCAGCACAGAGCGCTGTGCCGGTTGGTGCTGTCTGCAGGAGGCCCAAGTTAGACGGAAAACCTTAATTTTTGTTCACCATTAGCTTGAGGAGAAATCTGAGTCAGTCCGGTCAGTGCACGTACCTGGTGTGGGGAGAGGGGAGGCAAACTGAGCGCTGCTGCTGTTCCCTGCCCACCTGCAGCCCCTGAGCCCGAGTTCTGGGGGTCAGGAAACACCGAATCCTGGGCCGAGGCAGCGACAGGTGAGGGGTTTCCATCGGGTGTTTCTGACCTGGTGCAGCCTCGCCCTCTGTGCTCCAGCCTGGCCCTGGGAATGGGTTCTCTGTGGCTGGCGAAGGGCAGAGAAGGTTGCTTTTGCAGAAGAAGGCGTGGTGGAAGGATAATAATGGAAAAATGATTCATCTTCAAACCACAGCAATCCGTGGGGTCGGTGACCGTGTAAGATTCCACTTCAGCTTGCGCGTTATGTCCAAATGTGAAACCTGATTTCTGAAAACTTAACTAAACTTAAAGATGTTTCTAGAAAGAGGTTCCTGCCATTGATGTGTTAAGAGTGCACATGTTTGTTCATAACTGTTTCAGGAACCTGTATTTCAGAAATCCAGCAAATGCGGGCAGCAAAGGATATTCCGTTTTCATACCGAATATACTGCGCTTCTAAAAAAAACCTGTTCCATTTTGTAGATTTCCTAATGGCATTACTGTAATTTTTATTTCAGCAGGCCGTGGCAGTAAACATTGTAGTGATACTTGCCTTGCCGTACCTCCCCTGTGCCACTGGTACAGGTCACTTCTCACTTGCTGCTGCCAGTGAGAACGCAACGGGAAAGTGAAGAAGTAATAGCATTTTATTATTAGAAATACTGGAGGAGGTTTAAGTATCTCGCAGCATTTCTAAGTAGAACTTGCATAATTCATTACAGTGTGCTGGCTAAGTCCTGTTGCAAAAGGTACGGCCTGCCCAAACCCCCAGGAAAGGATAAACAGGCTCTTCTCTGGGTTATGCCCTTACCCCCGTCTCCTCGCCGTACGCCAGGAGCAGCCAGCTCCTGGGGCTTTTTCCTTACGGAAAGCTTGTTGATGTAACTTCAGTCTCTGGCTGCCCTGGAGAGTAGGATACTGGTGCTTCATTGCCTCGCTGAAAAAAAATCCCTTCTAATTAGTAGTTGCAACGAGTGCCTGGAAAGTATTTCACGGGACCTGCGAAGTGTTTCATCTCTCCGGCACAGGTACCGCTGGCAGCTATCACAAAATGTTACTTGTGTGACCTCTGGAAACGGCTCCTTACAAAGCAATCTCTCGCCAAACCTTTAATTGCATGGTAAGACCTCGGAGCCAGAAGAGGACGGGAATTAAAACCTGCCCTCAAAGGGAAGGTAAGCTTTCACCCGGGGAGGGGCGGGAAGAACTCGGCAAAAAGAAACTAATGGGTCTGACAAGTGTTTTTCTTGACAGGTCACTAATCAATGTTTAAATAGCAAAAGAAACAAGTCTCCCGTACCCCCCCCGCCCCGCGGCAGTGCACAGTGTTGGGGTGTTCCAGGGCCAGTGTTTGAACAAACAGGTACTTACGTGCAAAATAATGACTATTAAAAATTGGATCATGTCTGAAATGCAAAGCTGTCAGCGGTCCAGGATAGTTTGGATGTTTCTTCTGAATTCCAAATAACAGGTTCATTATAAAAGACCCTCTGAAAGGCTAAATAATAAGGGCTGCTATAATTAAAATCCCTCTATAAATTATTATGATACCGATTATGATAAGCACGCTGACAATTAATTTTCTGTAAATGTATTTCAGAGAAAGTAAGGGACTGACTAGAATAACCTGGAAGTTGGCACTACAGACTTGTAAAGCTCTCATGTTCTGCACTGAAATGCAGCCCTTGTCATCCTGCAGCGTGTGCTCATGTCCTGGTGTGAGCTAAACCGAGCCAGTCCTCTTCAGGGATTTTTTTTACTTCTCGGCTCAGTCTGCAGGGTGTTAAGTGATGGAGTAGGAGAAAACCTTGAGAAAGGGAAACAATTTGATCAGTGGGGCATTATCTTCCCGAGTCTGAAGAGAGGCTGAACAAACTGAGAGCTGCCTTTAAAAAAAAAAAACACCACCTTTGAGGCAATTCTGACTCCTCTCTGTATTGCTTTTAGTTGGCACATCTTTCCTGCTGCTTTCTCCTCATCTATTTTCCAAAACACTAAATTAAAAATGTAAAGAAAAAAATGGAGGGGAGGTACTTAGCTTATGGTTGGGAACTGCTGGTGTGAGCAAAGGTGCAATACTTGTAAACCAGATGAGCAAATCTGTTTTTTTTATCCATGGGCAGGCAAGGTAACCCCCAGCGACTGTGCTCGGGAGTCGGAGCTCTGTGGGCAGGGCCAGAGCCAGCGGGTGCTGAAGGCAGCTCGGGGCACGTTACCTTCCTGAAGCCCACGGTGGTTTTCATGGACCAGCAAGAGGGTGAAAATGGAACAAGTCATGAGCACAAAACTCAGGAGAACTGTACAGATCCAATTTAATGTTCAAACCCTTAGCACAGGAAAATAACCTTTTGTATTTAAGTTGTCTATTCGTAGGGTGATGGGAGTTAAACGTAAGATTTTGTTGCGAGTTCATAAAGGCCTTTCAGACAGACCCTAGCAAGCTAGGAGCACAGACGCCATTCTGCTATGGAAATTGAACAAATACATTTGAAAGTCACGTGAGCAACACCTTTTTCTTGGCAAGAATTAGTGTACGGTTCACACACAGATTGCCTGCTCAGGAGAGGGGAAAGGGTTGGAAAGAAACTACTGAAATAAATAAGGAATGGGGTGAAAAGTGCTTGGTGAGCACTGTCTGTGGCTATTCCCGCTTCTGAGGTGCAGTGGCAGTGAACTGCAGCTCTGGCATTACTGCAGAAAGCCTCGGGGATGGCCACAAAAACAAAATATCCTGCAGACAGCAGGGCTTAGACACGTTTTACATACACAGGTTCGTGCACCACCATAACTTTATGGGGGCAGTGAGAGGTTTGCATCCTCTGTACTGGTTACAACTGAATGTAAGTTTGCGTTGTGCTGTGGCTCTAGTCTGTTCCAACTTCAGCACGAAGAGCTGGAGGATCCAGGTGAGACACGGAGCAGCTCTTGTAGTCACAGAAGACAAACCCACTGGCTATAGAGGCTTTGGACCAGGCTCTAGTGAGGAGGAAAGGAGCGGGCAGGATGCTGAACACAGCAGATCCAGAGGTAGGGGGAGATGGGGGGCACAAAGGCCTCGTGGTGCCTGGGGACCAGGAAAGCAGAGCCTTGGCCGCAGATTAAACTCTTGGGGTTTGGGCTCTGTTCTGTCCGCAGCTCCTATTATTCATCACCTCTCCAGCATGAGGGAGTGTCTGGGGGGTGTTTCCAGAGGCCTTGGGTAGCAGAATTCTTCAGGGGTAAGAGATCTTAACTCTCTCTCTGCTCGAGGTCCTCACCCTGGGGCAGCTGACCCTGGCCCCACCATCACCCCCCTCGAGCGGATCCTGGGGACAGGGTCTCCTCTCGCTGCTGTTTCAGGGGTCACACAGGTGCTGTTTACCTGGCAGGGGAACCTCCTCGCCATGGGGTCGGATAAACACAGAGTTAAGAGATCATCTCCTCATGTAAGATGATCTAGTTGTATTATTGTGCTCTTGCTGTCTTACAGGACTTAGAACTGCGCTTAAACCCAGTTTCGGTGTGATCAGCCACGCAGGGAACGGCCTCGGCGGATTCCCGTGGAGGGGAAAAAAAGTACCAACAGTCCGATTCTGTTTGGTTGGAATAAATTTATTTCATCTGTCTGTAAACAAGGTGTTTTTAATAGTTATGGCATTTTTTGAAATGCATATTAAATCAGATGAGTTAGACTGTATCCCAGATGTAACAAAGTGCAGGGAAAGAAATGGACAAATCAGCAACAAGAATTTGTTTAAATCTGTACATTATCCACAAGGCCCAACAATAGAAGCAAATACTAGAATGTCCCTAAAGTAGTGCCATTCGAAAGAAACCCTTGTAGTCAGTTAAAATCCATCTCACAATAGCAACAGTTCATTTTTTTTTTTTTTTAAACAATAGTATGGCACAGAATACATATTAAAAAATTCATCACAAGACAGCCAAGTCAGTTATTCCAACCAATACCATCTCCCTTTTATTCTTTTGTATACAGAGTTCTGCAGTTCTCTTTAAATGGACATACAGGTTAGTACCGTGCCTGAACTGAGCGGTTGGTTACAGACATTTCGGATGAGTAGTGCACAGGGCAGTTCGCTCCATAATTTCTGCAGCGAGGGTGTGACAGGCCAAATGAAATTTTTCAATTTGAAATGGCATCATTTTGACAGTTTAGCTTTCAAACTACCGACCTTCATCCAAACCGTGGCTTCAGAGCAGCGAAACTCTCTGCCAGCGCGTGGCCTGGCAGAAAGACTGGAGTCGGCTGAAGGCGGCAGTTTTTCACAATGACAATGCAGTTTCATATTAAAAAAAAAGAAATGAAAACAACGAAGGAAACCTCACGACCCCCCAAGCTGCAAATTAAAATTGGTCCTATGAAAAACTCAAAGCAGACACACTCCAGATGGTTATGTTGGGATAGCTAATGTCCATAATGGCAGCCTTTTACAATTCAACTACAGAACAGGAGCTGGCAAAACAAACAAACGGGAAAAAAAAAAAAAGTGCCTGAGCTATTGCAATGATGGAATGTCTCTGGGGATTCATTCAGGATGGTGGTTTTAAGGTCATGGGAGGAAGTGCATCTGTACCCTTTCGTAGTTTTGTGATTGCACTCGTTAAGCAGTACAAGCTTCGGACACCGTGAAGAAAAAACTAAAAGACTCAGGCCTACAGCGAAGTGCAACAACAAAACTAACGTAACGTTAATAGCTTTTGAGTGGCAAATCGGTTAAACCAGGCACTATAAAAATAGGTGTAAGCAAATAAATGTGGATTTTTTAAAAAAAGAGAAAGAGAGAGGGACAGAAGTCAAGATATGCATGCACTTTTTTCCTCCCAACCATGCTCTGTGAAAGGAAGACTCGTGAGCTGTGTCGGTGCTCAAAGTGCTGAAGAGGCATTGATCAAATTAGATTGTACAATCGGCACCTTGTTTAGTATTTCAGTTGGTTTAGTTGTCAATATCACATTAATTGCTAAGACGAAGCGAAGCCTACACTTGGCGTATTCCCCTCCCGAGAGTTTGTCAAGGTATCATGCATATCGTCAGTGTGGTGCAGCCACGGTGCCAGACGGGGACGCGGTTACATACAGTGGTTAACACAGACATGAACGAGGGGGAACTGGGATTATGACGTTAGGAGATGGGTAAATAAAAAACACAAAACTACCATCTACAGTCTGGTAGCACTGAACACAAGGAGGTGGTGGTGCAGACAGCTGCTAGGTGGATGGGGAGAGGCTGCTTAGACGTCAGACCTCCTCAGGTATAAAGCCAGTTCATACGCTTTCTTGTTGAGTGTCCCTCCATGGACACCTTCCTTTCCCATGACTATAACCAATGCTGGAGTACACAAGGAAACAAAACAGAAATGAACAGAATTAAAGAAAAAAGTAACACCTTTCCCCACCAACAAAGGGATACAAAGGAGACACAGGTTCATACCCCATCACCCTGCATTGCTAATAAAGTTTCCAGAATGTAAGGTTTAAAGCTCACCGCCAGGAAAGTTTAATAGCAATCTTCCCCTAATACTTAACAGTCTGCCTAGCAACTAGAACCCAGAGTCTCTCAAGTATTTTGCCATTGAGTATGCCTTCTTATTCAATCCGCCTCCATGGACCCCTTCTTTGCCCATTACAAAGACCAAGACTGAAAGAGAAAAGAAAAAAAGTTTTTAAAAGAGTGTGTTAGACAAGGAAACAATGCAAGTTTTAGGCAGTGCAATAAACACACTCAAATTCCAGGCCTAGGGGTCAGGTATCGAGCTATTTTAACGGGGGTTTTGTAAAGACACAGGTGTGGACGGGGCTGGGAGAAGGCCTGAGTTCACTGCCAGGGAAAATGCCACCAACTATCTCAAAGAAGCGTCCCAGTGCCTCTCCACCACCCTGCAAGGAAACACTGGCTGCATCTTGGGCAAACAAGGGTGAAAAAAAAAGTGTTGCCAGGCATAAAGTAGTAATACGCATACAAGAACCGTGACTGAAGAGCGGGAGAGGGAATATTCTTATCTGCAGTGGTCACTGCTGGTGTTAAGAACCAGAGGAACTGCCCTGACACTGGCAAAAAACACCCCCGGGGGGTCAGGCCGGGGCTACGACTTTTCCTGCGGCGACAGGACCGTGCAACCGCTTTTGCGTAAGACAAAACGCAGGGCAGGTTTCAGTGCTGTTCCCACCGTTCGGGTGAAGTGCCCCAATTGTCTTGCGAACGAGAACATCTCAAAGCCCCTCCGCCCGGGGACGCAGCTCGGGAGCTGCCAGCAGATGTCACCAGCAGGGACACGGGCACAATAACCCCTGCTCCCACAAGCAGTTGTTTCCCCAGCGAGGAGTACTGCGATTGGAAATGCTGCAGCCAGCCTGCCAACAGGTGACTCTACACCCCAGCTGCAAATTGCTCACAAAAAGCTCAAGACGGGGACAGTTCTCGTCCACATTTCGCCATCTGCAGTCAGAACTCTGCCTGCTCCTCCCTCTGCCACTGTCACCACTCTGTCCCACAGCCAGACAGAAGACGCTAAGCCAGGTATTGTGAGCACAAGGCACGCTCCTGGCAGGCGGTATTTCGAGGCGTGCTTTTTGTATCCAAACCTAGTGCCTTCCCCATAAGAGGTTTTACTGGAAGTTAAATGAGGAGCAGGAGGAGTAGGCGTACCAGCATAAAGCAAGTTTCTCGGTGGCACCAAATTGGCCGGGTTTTTTTGCCTGAAGACAGGCTTCAGAGCGCTCAATAGGAAGTGCAAGAAGAGTTAGTGCAGAGCTTGTTAAAAGGGCAAGTAGGAGCAGCTCGTACAAGGAACTCGCATCTTTGCGGAATAAACTTTCTGCTGAGAAGTCTGCAACAAAAAAAGCTGGTGTCTCTACCACCTACTAACAGATCCCTGCCGTAGGCTTTAGGTGGCAAGCGATCGTACGCTGGGCAAGCTCACTTCAAGCCGTAGCCCGCTCTCTCCTGCTGGCCAGAGACCCGTTAACGGCCTCACGGCCCAGCACCCGGCTGCCAGCCCAGGTGGGAGCGGGGACGAGCTGACTCCTGGGCACAAAGCGAGTGCGTCAGCCCGAGCCTGGCCATCCACCCCCTGACGTCACTTCCTGACATGAGCCATTACACACAGGAGCCCGGCTTTCTCGGTAGCTGGGGTCTGCGCTCGGGGTCACGTTCTTAGTTGAGCGGTGCGGAAGGGAAGGGAATCGGGCTTACCTCGGCCAGCTCTGCCTACAGCAACGTTGTACGTGGGCTCACCGCCTTGGCTCTTTGTCCTGATGTCCATTGTGCAGTCGCCATCCACGTACAGGCTATCTCTGATCACAGAGCACTTCTTCGCACCAAGGGTCAGACCGTTGGTGAAGAAACCCTCTCGGTCTTTTCCTACAATCATATCTATTTCTACCGGCTGTCAAAGAAAAAAGTCCGCAGTTAGCAGGGCAGCGTTTTATTGTTTCGCGTCTGCTCACGAAGCGGGACGAGGCAGCGGCTCTCCCCGCTCCGCGCTTGTGCCGCTTTGTGCC